ACCATGTTGGCCAGGCTGGTCTCAAACTCCTGGCCTTATGTGATCTGCCTGCCTCTCAAAGTACTGGGATTACAGGCATGAGCCCCTGCACCCAGCCTAGCAGTCTTGAACTTCTGTAAAGAAACACTCTACACTGGGCACTATCCTGGCTGACATTCTCCGCATAGTCCTGGACTTCACAGTTTTCCAGACAGTAGCACAGGTGGAAAAAAAATGTCACTCTGGAGCTGACCCCTGCTAGTCCGTAGAGCAGGACTCTGATAATTACGGGGCAGGGGGGAGTGGACTGTGCGGTCTCTATTACACATAATGCTCTTCCCCCACCTTCTTGCTAGAAGAAGATTCTGATCCTCCTTCCCCAGGGAGAGCTCCCTCCCCTCCCACCTCCTGAGAGAATAACCATGTGGAGGGTAGTTCCAGGGAGAGCTCCTGTCTCCAAGTGTGTTGAGAGCCCATGGAGGGCTTTGAAGGGGATGTGAGTACCTGTGCTGAGGGGCGTGTCTCTACCTTTCTCACTTGTGCTCTCTAGGATGCTGGGGGAAATGTGTAGGAAGCTGATGTCCACACCTCGATTTTTCTGATACAAATATTGAGGCAGGTGTCAAAAGTCAACATTCTAAAGGAAGGGGTGGAGCACAGAAACAGAAACCTCTTATTCCTACCAATCAATGCTGCACACATCTAGAGATTACCAGGAGCCCCTTATCCATCTCTTTCAACAGCGTTAAGTTGTGGTATGGAAGCTGAGGACGGAACAGTCAACTCACGGGGCTCCAAAGAATTGCAGGGCCGGCAGCAGGTGTTAGCCGGGAGGTGAGGAGGAGCTGCTGGGGCACCGTGATTTATCCGTCCTCGGGAAGATGTATGGATGAGTTCATGCTGCAAAACAACTTGAGTTGATTGGAGATTAGTACAAGATAAATTCATGCTAACTTACCTGCATTCAAAATACATCCTGAGTGGGAAGGAAGGGTTGTCATGGCAGAGTACACTCAGGGGCCTCCACCCCATGCCGAGGGGCTGTTATTTCCTTTTCTGAGGACAATTATTTCCTCACACAATGTTTTTGGCTGTTCCATCGAAATAAGTGCATACATGGAATCTGTCAAGCATGTGGACTTCATCCATCATGTGTGATGTGGCAGGGGAGAAAAATGAAGAGATTCATTGGTCTGGATAATTTCCAAAGGCCCCCTTCTGATCTGCAATTGAGGAGGTTGTGGCTGCCTGCCTTGGGGAGTGCTGGAGAGAGGAGCAGGGGTTTCCCACTCAGTCTCACTTACACAGACAGGTTTAAAGCCAAAACAAAGGGAAGCCCTCCTTCATCTCTCACACACACATTGCTTCTGAAAGTCACCCACAAGCTGCCTAAAATGGCTTTCTGGCAGTGAGGAGGAAAGAACACTAAAATGGGGGTTGAAATGGTCAGGGATACCAAGACACAGGCCTGGGCTGTACCAGAGACAGTGCAGTCCATTGTCTATGGAGCGAGTCGGCTAAGCTGCGTCTTATTGGCACTTCATGTAAGATTAACGTCAGTTGTCCACACTGCTAGTGGGTGCTGACACCCTGCCTCCAACCGTTAAAGAAACCAATGACTAAATTCTTGGGCTTACAGGGCAGCAGACAGGAAACAACTTGCTGAAAAGCTGAAACGGAAACTGTGCCCCAAAGAGTAAGAAACCGGGAGCTTACAGAAATTCTCGTGTTTGCAGGATAGTAGATAAGAAAAAAACTAACTTGCTGGCCGGGCGCGGTGGCTCACGCCTGTAATCCCAGCACTTTGGGAGGCCGAGGTGGGTGGATCACGAGGTCAAGAGATCGAGACCATCCTGGTCAACATGGTGAAACCCCGTCTCTACTAAAAATAAAAAAAAAAAAAAAAAATTAGCCGGGCATGGTGGCGCGTGCCTGTAATCCCAGCTACTCAGGAGGCTGAGGCAGGAGAATTGCCTGAACCCAGGAGGCGGAGTTTGCGGTGAGCCGAGATCGCGCCATTGCACTCCAGCCTGGGTAACAAGAGCGAAACTCCGTCTCAAAAAAAAAAAAAAAAACTAACTTGCTGAAACACTGAAACTCCCTCTGCTTGTGAGATCAAGAAAGGCCAGCTGAACTCAGTTGGAACCAAGGTGGCCAACTGGAGGTTTTGCAAAACGAGGTTGCTGATGTCAGAGCCCGAATTTCCACTGCATGTTCCATTCTAACTCCCTCTGAATTTGCACGTGGGACCCATGAGGTAACAGGGAGACGTTACTGCGCATGCCCAAGACTTTTCAGCCCTCCCCTTTCCTTCCACCAATCCCTGTCTAATCCCAGAATCTGCCCCCTGAACCTTTTCTAATAAAATACTGCCTTGAAGTCAGCCTGGGGAAACAGATTTGAGCTTGACTCTTGCCTCCTTGTGAGTTGACTTTTGACATAAAGCTTTTGTTTTCTTAAAACCCTGGTGTCATAGTACTGGCTTCCAGCACATTGGGCAGCGAGTTCCTTTTGCTGGAAAACAGTGCTGATGGATGATGGGGAAGCCAGACCCCCCAAGCTATACCTTGGTGCTCTGCTAACTTGACCAAGGTCTGACTCCAAAGTCAGTGGGCAATTCGAGATTCTTCTCTTAGTGCCACTTGTAGGATGTCACATTAAACTTTAGCCTAATGCTGAAGGAATGTGGGAATTTGCCCAATAGTAATGATGAGCCCAGTGGGCTGTGAGAAATCCTATGTTCCTCCTGCCGGATTACCCTCTGCCCACACATTCCCACCCTGTGCCTTGCACATCCAGTGGCTGCCAGTGTATCCCACCTAATCCATCACCTTCCTTCAATCCTGAACAGGCTTCTGGACTGGCCTCCATCACTAAACCAACAGGAATCCTCCGCTATGAACCAGCAAGGTCCCGCATTGTTGTTGCTATGGTGACAGTTGCCCGTGAGTACATTAAGAGAAAAATAGCCACGTTTTAGCAGGTGCACAGTCCTAGCACAACACACTGGTACTGGCTCATAAAGTTTTCTAGTTTTCCCTAAGACTTTTAAAATTAGGAACCAATGTGTAACAGTTCAGAACACAATTTCCCTAGCAACCAGAGAAATGCCAGTCCCTCCTGTAAGGGAGGTTAAAAATAACATTGCATGTGCCCCTGTAACCAACTGGAATCTCCAAATTCCCTTCTGTAACAGCCCTCTGGTCACAGCAGATGTCCAACTCCCCAAATCTCATCTATCATCAAGGTAGCCTTTCCAAGTCACGAATGTAATTCACCTTCACAGAATTACTCAGGTATCCTCTCTGCCTGCAGAAAAAAAAAAAAAAAAAAAAAAAAATTGTCAGCTTGGTCTGTATAAGCAAGGGCTGGCCTCCTTTCCTACCCCTTTCCCACACAGCACCCATGTTCTAGGCATAAGCATTCCCTCAAAACTCTTTAACCAGACTATATGCCTGCCTTCCTTCTTTCATTCTTTCTCTTCCTTCCTTTTCTTTTTCCTTCTTTCCTTCCTTATTCTTTCCTTTCTTCCTCCTTCCCTCTCTCCTTTTTTCCCTTCTTTCCTTTCCTCCTTTCCTTCCTCCCTCTCTCCCTTTTCCCTTCCTTCCTCCCTTTCTTACTTTCAACATGATTAGCATACAAAAACATAAAAAGATCTTAAGGGATCAGTTCAATGCGTTCTGACAATTGTGTATGCAAGGAAAAACCACAGAACATTTCCACCACTCTAGAAAGTTCTCTCATTCACCTTTTCAGTCCATTTACCACCCTTCGACCCAAAGGCAATGTTTTCTGACATCAATTGCCATAGTTTAGTTTTGTCTGATTTTGAACTTCATAAATGGAATCAAACAGAATGTATTCATTTGTTTATTCTAGTGTGTGACTATGCCACAATTTAAAAATCTATTCTACTGTTGACGAACATTTGGTCTGTTTCCAATTTGGGATTATCATCAATAAGGCTCTTATGAATATTTTTGTGCTAGTCTTTTTTGTTTTTATATCTCTTGGGCAAATACCTAGGAGTGGAATTGCTAGGGCACAAGGAAGTTGTCTGGTTAAATTTACTAGAAACCACTACACAGTTCCCCAAAGCGGTTATGCCTTTCGACTTTTCTATCATCATCTATAAGAATTCCCGTTGTTCCACATCCTGACTAAAATTTAGTATTGTCTTTTTTTTTTTTTTTTTTTTTAGCCTCTAGTGTGTGAATAGTAGAATCTCATGGTGGCTTTAATTTGCATTTTCTTGATAACTAATAATGGGAGCATATTTTCTTGTGTTTGTTGTCCATTACACATATTCTTTTGTGAAGTACCTGCTCAAGTCTTTTGTTCATCTAAAAATTGAATTATCTTTTTATTATTTTATTAATAACATATTCCCAATATAAACTTTTTTTCACATATGTGCTCTACAAATAGTTTTCCCTGTTTGTGGTTTCTATATTAATTTTCTTAATGGCATATTTGAATAGGCAGAAAGTTTTAATTGTAGTGAAGTCCAATTTACCAGTTATTTTTCTTTTATGGTTAGTCCTTTCTGTATCTTGTCTCAAGCATCTATGATTAACTCAAATTTGCGAAGAATCTTTCATAGAAAGATTTCATGGAAGGCATTTTATGATCATCTGTAGACACTAAGAACCCAAATACATATGACATCCCCTTCTCAAAAGTCAATTGCAATGAATGTAGGTAGCAAATAGAAAATATCAATAATTAGAGGAGGCATCACCTGAGTACTTAATTGTCTCTCAGATCCTCCTTTTTCTTCTCCTGGCTATCAACTGAGGGCTCCTCCAGTATGAACCTTGCCTTGCACCTCTGTGCCTTAGAACCCCAAGGGCATCAGTTCTAGTCAATGAGTGAACACATCAGTCATCCAGCCAATCAGTTGACAGACTTTCTAACCCCCCACCGCCCGCAGCACACAATGCTGCCTATGTGGACACAGAGTTTCTAGAGGAGGGAAGAAGATATGGTCCCTCAAAGCACAAGGATTGAGAGGTCCCTATTTCTGCATAGCCTCCTTGAATGCAGAGAGAAATCCATTCTTGCACATTCAGGAAGAGTGCCAGCTGGGCAGTCTTGTAGCTCACTCTCCCAACCCTGAAAGACCAAGGTGAGGAAACAAACTCTCCCTAAGCCAAACAGGCAGGGAGCAAGCTCTCTTCTAGCCAAATAGTCAATGTAGTCTGACCTGGACACCTCTTTCTACTGATTCATAGATGCAAGCAGTTCTTGTCTCTCTGATATCCAAATCTCATGATTCTACATTTCTCTCCTTTTTATTTCATGGGTATCCATTTAAAAATGTTTAAGGCTCACAGCAGCTGTATTAGTCCCTTTTGACACTACTATAAAGATTTACCCGAGACTGAGTAATTTATGAGGAAAGGTTTAATTGGCTCACAGTTCCAAAGGCTTAACAAGAAGCATGACTGGGAGGCCTCAGGAAACTTACAATCATGATGGAAGGCGAAGGAGAAACAAGCACATCTCACTGTGGAGGAGCAGGAGAGACAGAGAGGACAGGAGGGAAGTGCCACACCGTTTAAACAACCAGATCTCATGAGAACTCTATCATGAGACAGCACTAGGGAATGGTGCTAAACCATTAGAAACCACCCCCATGATCCAATCACCTCCTGCCAGGCCCCACCTCCAACACATGGGGATTACAATTCGACATGAGATTTGGTTAGGGACACAGAGCCAAACTGTGTCAGCAGCATTACTCACAATATCCAAAAGCTAGAATCAACCCGGATGTCTATCTACAGAAGAATAAATGAACTGAGATTTCTCCAAATTATAAAATATTATTCACTTTAAAAAGAAAGGAAATTTTGGCACATGTTATGATATGGATTTATTGAGGATATTATGCTAAACGAAATAAGCCAGACACAAAGGGACAAATATTATATGGTCCTAGTTATCTGAGACAAGTGGAATTCAAATTCATAGAGTAGACAAGTAGCCTCAAATTCATAGAAGTGGAAAGTAAAATAGTGGTTGCCAGGGACTATGGGAAGAGGGCATTGGGAGCTATTGTTTCATTAGTAGAGTTTCAATTCAAGATAATTAAAAAGGTCTGAAGATAGATGGTGGTGATGATTGCACAACAATGTCAATGTACTTAATACCACCTAACTGTACAATTAAAATACTCAGTATGGTCAGTTTTATGTTATGTATACTTAATCACAATTTTTTCAGTTAAAATATTACAAGGGAAAGACAGAGCAGATGAGATCAATAGGCATTAATGTGTTTGCTTATTGAAAACAAGGCTGATTGCACTGCAGAAGGTCATCTAATTGGCTGATCCACACCAGCCTCTGCAAGGATGTGAAATGATTAGCCAGGCAGACAAGGTGGAGGGAACCTCTGCTCTGACCATTGGCCCCACTGCCACCCACTAGGACAATCTGGTCTTGGAAGTGTAGATGGAGCCTAGAGCATTCACAACTTGTTTATTAAATCCATATAAAACTGGATGGGTGGATGGATGATAGAACTTTCTGGAAAGACCAAGGATTATTGAGGAAGTATGGTAGTTTTCCAGTAAGAGAGGTGGTAGAAGACCTCAGATATTGACAGCTCATCCCTAAATAGTCCACTGGACACAAACATCATGGTACTTGCTAGAGGAAACCCAGGGAATGATCTGACTCAGTGCTCTCATTAGACAGATGAGGCAACTTTGATCAGAGAGGTTAAGTGATTTTCCTAAGGCTACACACATCAGATGACCCATGACCTCCTTTCTACTCTTCAGCAAACTAACCCACATTCTGAGGGGGACTCGTCCACTCTGAAATCTTTGTCATAGAGGACAGATGCCACAAATCATTACAGAACACCTGCAGTTGCCACAGTTTACCTTTCCCTTCCAGCATCTTTCAAAGTTCCAGTTTGTTCTGGACATGCAAGTTTTTTTTCTGCCCTTGCCTGAGTAAGCCTCAGCCCTGGAAAATCAATTCCATTGTGTGTCGTCTGTGGCCCTCTCCTGAGTGGTTGGTCTCTGCTGGAAAATATCTCAGGACCATGCGTACCAGATCCATTGCAAAGTGCATCCTCGGGGAGGCCCACAGGGCTGCTCCGTGCTCTCTGTATTTGTTCTCAGCCATTCTTTCTCAGTTCCCTCTCAATGACAGCTCTGAATGTCCCCCTCACCTTAAGCTCCCTGGTGAGTTTTCACCTTACTATTTGTCACTGACTTCATCCAGAAAGTTGAGGCCAGTGATTCTAAATTTCTTCTATGCTGCCCATATCCTGACTGACAAGCTTATGTCCGTCCCTGTCCACCCTCTCTCCTCCCCCCAGGTCAGAGCACTATGGTCCTTCCTCCTGCCCTAGACCAGTGGGCTGCTCCTGAGTTCCAGATCCTTTTTTCCAACAACTACTAGGTTCTCCACCCATTAATAATCCCCTCTCTCCATCTTCAGCCACCTCTTAACTAAGTCCTTCCTCTCAAATTAAAGCCTTCTTCAAAGATGTACCCAGTTGATCCTTCAAATTCTCACCTCTCATCACTGATTCCTTGGCTGCCTCTATCACTTGACAAGAACTGCACTGGCCAGAGCCACACACGGTCCAATCCAGTGGGTGTGCTTAGGTGTGTTTAGTCTTTGCACTGCCTTTTCTCTGCAGCATTTGACTCTGCTGACCGCTGGCGTCTTATGGAAATCCTCTCCTTCTCTCCCTTTACTTCTCTAACTATTCCTTGTTGGTTTCTTTCACGGCTTTCCCTTCCTCCACCTGCCTTTCAAACATTGGTCTGTAGAGAGAAATGGCTTGGCTCAGTTTTCCTTTGCCCTGAGCAATTGCACCCTCCCTTTTCATCTCCACCCCTCATCTCTTACACTGGAATCTAGCCTCTGACCTCTACATAATACAATCCAAACTCTGTCATTAAGCATATAAAGAGTTTGATAAATCTTCGATTTTGGTTATATTAAATCAATTGTTTAGCATACTATTTAATAATAGTGTAAAAGGCCACATTGTTTTAAAGGGTAAAATCGTAACTCTCATACCAATATAAAATGAACACGTATCAAAGAGTTTATTTTGCTCACTATTTAATCTGAGAAACAGTAACATGTTACAACCAATTAAAGGAAAACCTCAAGAGCAGACACATGCAGATGCAATCAGCAATGTTAATATAAACTTGTCCAATAGATGCAAACCTGGCTTCTTTTGTGGTGAGGAAAAGAAATTAATTGTACTTCCGTTGGACAGAATTAATTTTCACGCCTGTGGTCAAGAGTCATTTGTATTGACAACTAGGC